GCTTGACTTGATAACACAGCCAAATTCTGTGGGAGTTGATGATCCTGGGGTACCCTATCCTGAGAGTTTGAGATATTCCCTGCAGGATGCTCACGATCATGCCAGAGCTGCTCTAAGTGCAAGCCATTCAAAAAAGAAGCGCTATTATGACAAGAAGCGACGCATGGTTTCCTATGCTGTGGATGACTTGGTCAGGGTAAAAACCCACCCCAAATCTGATGCTGGTGCAAACTTTACAGCCAAGTTAGCCCCAGTTTATGCTGGACCATTTCGCGTCTCTAAGAAACTTTCAAGTGTCAATTACAGACTTTCAAACGTGGACACTGGAGAAGATGCTGGCGTGTTTCATGTAGTAAATCTGCAGCCTTTTCATTCATGGGACACGGCCGTGCCCACAACAAGTTCCTATGCTGATGTTGAGATGTCACTACCTTTGGGTGAGGACTTTGATTATCAAACAGACAGTGAGGAGTCGGGTAATGCTGACCAGAGTGTTGGTATTGACTACTCAAACGAATCTTTGAATCGACACTCAGATGAAAATTCGCTGGAACGTTGTACTGGACACTCACTTGATCTTACTCCTGACATTGTTGACGGTGTGGGTGTCTCTGACTCTCATGACTTGACATCTGACGCAGTTACTGGCGAACCCGCAAATCAGGGTCTGAGTCGTTATGCGCTGAGACCGAGAAGAGTCCCTAGAGTTACATCTGACTGGACGGTGAATAAGTGGACTAATCCCTACCATGTTAAAAGGTTTGACTTAGATTAAGCATGACAGACTGCGTTAGACTGTTGTTCCAGAGTGTTAATTGTTATTGTTCCTGTGTGTTCATGGGTCTCATCGAAAAAAAAAATGGAGTGTTTCATTTTTGGGTCGTGATCAAACTTTTCTCATGTGTTACTGAACTAATGTACACTGTGCTAACATGTATGCTCGTACTGTTTGTACAATAGCTATCCCTTTGTCTTGTAAACTTTTCAAATCAGTCATGTATGAGTGGTTGTTAAGTCGAAGTCTTCCTTTGCTGTGTACGGCTGAGGGCAGCCTTTTTTTGGCCGGGGGAAATTTGTAACGAGTGGAAATATGGTGTGACCCCTTTAAGAATCTGTGACGAGTGAAGGTAGGGTGTGGCCCCTTTAAGAGCTGCGCGCTCCTGTTGAAGAGTC